CCAAAAGAGCAGAAACCCCCTGCGCTGGAGGAGAGCATGAAGCTCTCCGTCCCAACCCCCAGAGGCCAATGCCAACAGGAAAAAGAGCCTTAGAAAAACAATCCTGAACTGATGGAGCCACAACAAAACGAAGAGAAGTCAAACACAAGAGCACCCTGTCCAAGGACCATGACGGCTCAGGCGGCGCATGAGTAGGCCAGAGGTGAAACAAATCCCAAGGCAGCTTACGAAACTGCACAGAAGTAACATCTATACTGAAAGCAAGCTGCAGCGGCTCCGCCAGCGCCGCACGATATGAGGCAACAGTATTTGCCATAAGATGACGGTCCTGAAATAGCCACGAGAGAAAGGACAATACAACCTGAACTGAAAGCAAAGTACAACGACGGAGAGACAAAAAGAACCGGAAGGACCACTAAGAAACTTCAAACTGCCGCCGAGATGAAGCCCGCAGGTAGGACACCATCAAAGAAGTCACCTGGTAGGCCAACACCCAAACACATAACAGACGCAGATGGGCCACAATGTCCCAAGTAGGGCTTGTGAACACACAAGGAGCCATGTTCAACCTGAATGGGAAACAACGAAAGCAGTAACCCTGACGCCCCCACAATAAAACCGAGCCAGTCCCTGAACCCCGAATGAGTAAGGATGAGGTCCAATATGCGTCCTTGAGGTCCAGGGACACCATCCAAGCATCCCACTCCAACAGAATCCAGACCTGAGACAGAGTGGTCATCCAAAATGAGGGGCAAGAACCCCAGGGTGTTTCCGACGGGACAAGTCCAGAATGAACTGCATTCCAGTCCTGTTTCGGAACTGGAAACAGGCGGGAAACCCACCTGAGAGACGTCGTCATTTCGATCATGCATAAGCACCCACTCCGAGACGACCCGATGGAGCGCAAGAGAAGAAGCCTGCCCCTTCACCCCCCCCCCCCGAAGGATGAGGGGCCACCCAATGCGACTGCAGGTCGAGGAAAACGATCTAAAAACGCTCTCAAATCGTAAGACCAGGCACGAGCAAAAAGAGCAAGCCTCCTCCTATCGCCATGTCAATATGGCGAACTGCAAAAGAGAACCCGACCTGCACACAGAGCGAACACGGCGCCGAACAGACACAGACAGTTCCGAAGATGGCACCGGCCCGGAACCTGGCGACTGTGGCCCACCTTGACAAGCGGAACCCTGAACTCTGGCATGATCCATCCGGGAGGAACCCCCCTGAGACCTCTGGAGAACCATCAAGTTGGACATCGGACGATAGCTGGAAGAAGCCGCCTATAGATACTTCTCCACTGCAGAGTCCCCAAACAGCAAGACAATCAGCAAGACAATTGAAGACAATCTAAGAATCAAGGACCCAAGCGGATTCCAAAGAGGAAGTGAGCACAACCTGCTGACACGCGAGATGTGCAGCAAAAAACTGTGACACCACATCCCACAGAATCGGCGTGAACAGCTTCAGAAGAGCAGATGACGCACGAGCAGCTGAGACCAAAGCACCAGATCCGGGAATGGCACCAAGAACTTCAACATCCTCCGTAAGCCAGTCCAAGGACAGCTCAAGGAGGGAAAAGAAATGCAGGACCGAAACTAACAAGCCATGAGAGCGCAAGTCCTCAGCCACAAGTGCAGCTGAAAGGGTGGGAACCTGCACATGAAGCTGAACCACACCCACATCCTGCAGAAGGGCAGGAGTGAACAAGCACTCATTAAGGTGCTTGAAGTCGCCTTCCCCCCCAAGAAAACCTGGACCACCATCAAGGCCTCGCACCACTCAAGCATGCAAGTATGACAGAAAGCACTCAAAGTATCCAATGACAACAACGGGCAGTCCGCAAGCCAGGATGACTCCAGAACCACATAACGGACCCAGTATGGAGGTGAAGATCCAAACCTGAAGGAACACGGGGAACCCGGGGAGGAGCTGAACCCAAATCCAACTCGTACACAGAGGGGGAAAAAAGGAAAACCCCCACTCCTTGTAACAGAAAGCCCCGCTCTGAGGGTTTGAAAACCCAGGCGGGGACCAACGGGGCGCAAGGCTCCCAAGTCAGCTCCTCCCCAACCCAGAGAGCCTCCATGTCAGGCCCTGGGAGTGAGCCCCTCCTCCAAAGCCTCAGTCTCACAAGAAAAAATGGGGCAGCCGGAAAATTGGGAAGAGAAGAGGCCCACTGGTTAGTCCTCGACGCTATGGCTGGAGGAAGGGGCTCGAATGCCTCCGTCGCCTTCCCAGAAGGGGCAACCTCCAAAACTGTCCGAGTCTCAGAAACCTCTAGACCTCACCCCGACTCCAAAGCCCTCAGACGCTTTAGAGCCAGAAAGGTGGGGGGGGGGGGGACAGAATGAACCACAGCAGGGGAAGAAGAGGTGCAGACTGAACCAAGGTCGAAGCAACCAACACCCCCAAATCCAGGTTCCTATAAGCAAAGCAGAACTGCCTCGCGGCATCTGGGGAAGAAACTGAGAGTGTTGCAGCAACAGAAACCTATCTTGCAATGCCTGAGCTGCATGCACCCAAATAATATCGTCATCAGATTTGGTGAATTGAGTTACAAACAAGCAACAGTACTCACAGGGCTCGGGGTCAAAGGTGTCACCGACCCAACAGGCAGCATGACGGAGGGAAAAACAATGAGTATCGTCTTGAGACAAGGGAACAGAGTAACCTTCAAACTCGCACAAGGTGAGAGGAGACCCAGGTGTCGCATCCATCAGACTTGTGCGCCTCCGCAGGGATTCCCAGGGCCCTTAGACTGGTATCGCTAAGGGTAAGCCCAGGCAGGGTACTG